TTCAAATAGAAGACTACATAAGCACGCGTTCCATTTGTATCTGGGAATGAATATACATTAACGTTTAACTAAGGAAATTTTTTTGAATAAAAGTTTTGCAGGGTTATGTAACAGATATTCGGGAAGAAAATGTACTGCAGCCGTTGCTTGTGACTGTGTCGGCGATAAAGCAGTCTACTGAGTGTGTGCGGTCGATACTTAAGATTGATGATATTGTAAGGAAAACTATGGTTGTTTCTCAGAAAAAAAAATGTTTGATTAGGTTTCAAAGTTTAAGCTTCATCTGTTTCAATAACAGTGCTTTATTTTGATTTTAGGTGGTTGCTGTTCGTTAGGTGGCAGTTAGTTCAGGCGCTTCATTCACATTGCGTCACTAATATCTGGTCCTCAATGCACTGAAATCAGTACTGGACTGAAGCTTAAAACAATTAAATATCTTTTTTATTTGCAGTTTCAATTCTGGAAATTTTTGCTTGTTGTTGATTGTTGTTGTTATTGCTTCGCAATTTGCTTTAAAACGGTAAAATTTCGCAGGCATTTTAAAGCATATTTGGTATCACACAGTCAGATATTGTATTAATGCATCGAGCTTTCTTATATACTATGTTGGTGAAGCCAGTTAGTCATTCATGCAGTTTACTAGTTCTGCTGTAAGACAGTTTAGATCCTGAATGCAATAAAACGCGGCGTTTATCAAAAGTATTATCTTTTTCTTTCTGGGTGAAGAGGGTGGAGTTAGTTAGCGTTTTATTTACTTCAGCTGGTGTTTCATGGTTATTAGGGAATTTTATATTTCACGGATTATTTGATAAAAGTTGAATATTAAAAATGAGGCAGGAAGAGGGAGGCCTTGTTAGTTTTACATAATTTAAGTAAATTTGAAGTGCGTAATTGTGCAAGTAACTCTTTGTTAATGATGTTTGCTGCTGTTTTTACATGAATGGTGTGGGGAAGAGGAGTGTAGATCAGGTGTTTGATCGCTGGAGGAAATGGTGTTTGTAGACAATATCAGGCGACCGGTTTGGAGTAAGGGTTATGGAGGGGATGCGGAGGCGGTTGGAAGTTAAACAGTGTCTTGCAGGTTGCATAATTGGTAGGGTTTTGGGTTTGGGGGGTAATAAATCAGGTGTCCAGCGGTCGAGGAATGGGAAGCATCGAAAGAAGTAGTGCTGGTCTGGTAATTCTAAGGATAAATGGTAGTAAGTAATCGCCAAAACGACAGCGTGACGAGCGGCTGCGCAAGTTGTGATCGACTTTTTTTTAGTGTCCTAGCTAGGAGTTGGTTGTTTTGAGGGGTCCATTGTCGTCGGGAAAATTCAGGTTGTGTCATTAGGGGATAGAAGAGATAGGTTGACTGTTTTCTAAGATTTAATGAACGAAAGGAGTCTTAATGCTTAGTTCTCTCCGAAGGTCGTCGATAAGAATTTTTCTTGGGATTCGGTTTCTGTCGTTCTTTAATCGTCAGGGTATTTTGATGCCGCGATTCCGTTGCTCCTGGATTTCGCTTGCTTCCTTTCAACTGTAAGAGCTGAACTTAATTGTGTCTTTGATGGTCGCTTCCCTGACACTCGCTCTTTGCATCAGTGCCCTTTTGCTTTTCATAGATGAACTCGTTCCCTCAATACATTTACTCTTTTTCACTTCAGGTTCTACACATTACATATTTCGCCACTATGCTTGAAAAATACTTCTGGGCTTCTTAATTTTTTTTTGACTCTTTTCAGCAGCAAAAAGTAGGCTTCCCCAAATCGCTTCAAAAAACCTTTATACTGTTCGATTAGACTGCTATACACGACCAGATCACCAATTAAACCAAAAAAAAGAAAGAACTTATGGCACCTTGGCTATCAAAACTGCAATTTAGCTTAGCCGTAATACCTCCAAAAATTTCTCTCTGTGTATCCAAGCTCTGACACCTACTTCCCGATACAACAGTAACATTTTTTACATTTCTCATGTAAGCTTCCATCAGGGAACCTGCTTGAACTGGAAGCATTCAAGGCCTGATATTAATTAATTTCTTGTTCCCAAAACACATTTCTCTTACAAGACTTTTTGAGAACCTGCTAAGTCTTCGAAGAACTGAAGTCAGTTGATTTAAAGACAGTTATTAGATATCTGATTTTTGTTGAATGATCTTCTGATAGCCAAGGTGCCATAAGTCGGAGCTTCTGTACCGTTGCTTTTTGGAAGGAATCTGCTAGTGGCGTAATCCAGAAGCAGCTGTATCAAATAGACTAGAGTGGAAACTATAATGGTCTCCTCGTCACAGAAC